CCAACTATGTTTGTGTCCTTGTAGCCCCATCTGGTGGAATGGGCGTTGAAGTCTCCTAATACTATAGTGTTGTGTGAGATGTTCAGGAAGTCAAAGTTGGGACAATTCAGGGGTGGATTATAGACTGCATATACTTTGAAGTGGTTTTGACATTTCCAAACATTTAATCTGATTATTTCACCTATGTCTTGTGTCGAGCCCATACTCTTGATTAGATCGTAGTGTGAGGTGAGGCCTTCTTTTACTCCAGTTAGAATTCCATTTGCAACTTGCCGGTATTTAGGTAGAAGGAACAGGGTGTAACCTGGGAATTGGTAGTACTTCAGTTTGTCATCCGAAATGTTTGCTTCCATAGGTTTGCTTCTACATCATAGGTTTGCAGGATTTTCTGGACTCGGATCTTTTTGTCCTGTGATATCCCTCCAGCATTCCTCTGAAGGATCTGTAGACGTTGTGATTCGCCCTGACGAGGGCGATTTCTCTTATAGCCTTTATTCAAGCTAATCATAATAAATAGAAGTCAAATCTAATGCCGAGTGATAGACTTTTTTGCCATATGAAGGTACGTTGTCCGGGGTGCACCACGTGGAGACAAGTCTACGACAATTTTACTCTCGCAAAAAAGTACTTTACCGCTATTTGAATGTGATGGTTGAATGGAAAACAGAAATTGCCACAAATCATAAAAGGACTGACCTCTACAGGTACACTGACAAGCAAGCAAAACATGAATTCTCAATTATCCGGCAGGAAATGAAAGTAAAAGAGTTTGAAATGATGTGAACTAAGCTTTCTGCATAAGTTAAATAGATCAGAAGCATCAAAATAATCAATAGTTGCCAATAGTTGAATCGAGAGCTGGTATTAACTGGTGGTGATTTAATTCGAAAACCTAATTCAAATGACAAGTGAACTAAGGCTGCGGTTCAAGAACAGATATTATTAGCAAAAAGAGCTAAAACTAACCTTCAGTTTTGGATGAAGAAGACTTAGAAGGGCCCATTTCAATATCAACAGATTTCTCCACACCTACTCCTCCACGCGGGAAGGAGTTGGCAAGAGCTGTGAGAGAATAAAAGACTTCACTGATAAGTTTAGAAAGAGGGGTCCATTGATTGGATCTTTCACACTCTTCGATACACTCCTGCACCTCAGCCAAAGTGAGTCCTTTCACCCGTTTGCTGACAATATTTGTAGAGGCAGATAGAAATTCATTATCTTCCTCTCCTTCTTCAGTTTTAGGCATATTTCTCTTGGTAATACTCTCCAGTAAATCCAAAAAGTAGTGATGTCGAGAAGGATCTGTTTGAATTGCACTCTCATTTGTCACTGAAAGAAAACAGTGGATACCTTAGACGAATAAAAAGAGGGAATAACTAAAAACTGGAAAGAGACGGACAAGCTTCGGTAGGTGGTGATGTTTCAGAAATATGGAGGAGAAAACGACTCAAAGCAGGTGCGATTTCGCTGATTGAGGAGGTTGAGGTGGAACTTTGTAGAGTGTCTGGAAATTCAACATCTCCAATCCTCACCTGATCTGGATCGCCAGCATCCATTCCCTCCTGCACTGGTAGAGCAATGGAAGTCTCCGGCATATCCATAAGTTCATTATTTCCAGTGCTAGTTTGGGCCCCCGTATTTCTAGCCTGACGATTCTACATAGGATAGCCAGGAATAAAAACCAGAGATAAAGGTAAAGCTCAATAATTTAACAAAACTTACATCCAATTCTTGAGCCGAGGTATAATTTTGGTTTGAAGAGTTAGAATAACGAAAACACATAGGCTCCGAGTCTCCAAGAAGGCGGAGAGACAATGCAGCTGCTCGGTTATTATCAATACCCCTGTGTGCGAAATAAGGTGACGAGGCACAGTTCTGATTCGGGCATGTAGAATCGCCACAACCAACAGTGAGTTGATTGAAATAATGTCGAATACGCTCTTCAATAAACGCCTGCCGATTAGTTTCATCCCTAAAAAAGAGATAAGAGAGAATAAGGTCAGCAAAAAGGGAGAATAGGTTTATAAGAAACACGAAAAGTAAAATTTATATGAAAAAAAGCATAAGATAATTAGAAAAAATATTTTCAAAGAATGCTGCAATGTCAAGCGTCGATGAATGAATATGAAGGTTAAAAAATATGAGTATTTCCTCAGCTATGTAATCACAGAGAGACGTTAAAATATAATAAATAATATGAAATAGGCTAAAAACTAAAGAACTTACATTTTTCGGTTAACTCCGCACCAGTTCTATTCTAGTGAAATTAAATGCAATTAAGACCTGAAATTCCCTAAAGATCCGATTGGTCGAATAAAAGACACTGAAATCTGGCCAAATATTTACCCTCATTAAAAAGTAAACAAACGCAAAATATGCATATTAAACGCAGCAACATAGTATAAATTTGGAAAGACTTAATTGGGAATGATTTTAAAATAATCTCTAATTTTTCCTCTATAGATTACACGCGTGTTAATTTTTTTAATTGCCTTTTAATCTAAAGTATAAGAACAAAATCAAAATTCAAGTTTCATTTCAATACTTTGACGAGAACATTGAATTTTTAAGCTTTCCACCTCATTTATATAAAATAAGTTATTTATTTATTAAAGCATATAGTATTAACTGCTCGAACTTGAAATTAGATTATATTTCCTTTTTATTAAAAAAAATTAATTCAAGTCCTCAAAGTTCTAATTTAAATTAAAAATACTATTCCATCTAGTTTCAGTTCATGCAGAGCAGTGAAAAGTTATTGTTGCCACAAAGAAACCACTGTTTACCCATCTTCTTGCCTAGGACGTGTGCTTGCATAGAGCAGTAACACTCAATACGCAATATTCATAAGTCATTATGCTCAACAACGATCCATAAACAATAATTTTGGTTGTCGTTTGTTTGTTAGCATGCTCAATATCTTTTCAGAATGGCAAAGGTATTGGAACTTTTCCGGGTCGACAAACATGGGAGTTTAGATATATCTTTCTCGCAATCAGAAAAATGTGATAAATTTGCTCTTTAGAGTTTTAAAATTATAATTTATAAATTTATCATTATTTGCGCTTGCGCTGCAATATTCGATTAATTTTATAATTATTTATCAATTCCATTGCTATACAATTTGGTCTATAATTTTTATCTCGTTTGCCTGAAGTCTGTTGAAAACAGGAATTTCTCAAGTGAAGTTTATCATTTTCCGTTATATTTCTCGTGAGTTGTTGTACGGTGCGGTCACCTATTTTAGTTTTTAACCGATACTCCGTTTATCAAATGTATTTCAAAAATTGCAAACAATAAAAGACCGAACTACCGGGTATCGAAACAAGATACCGTGCCCAAACTCTAATAAAGTTATTCCTGTTAAGTGCATAAAAAATGGCAATAAAAGTTGGAACATAATGTATCCTGCAAGTATTAATTATTTTCATATATTCAATGCAATCAAACAAACATTTACGTTCCAAATTATTTTTAATTTAACTAGATTAATGCCTATTATCTATTGAGTCTTTATCATTGACAATATATCTACAAACTTCTAATAACTGTGACGGTATATATTCCATTATTATGGCCAGTTAAATTTCGCAAGTGGAACGTCTATTTGACGGACGAAAATGGAAAATAAACGTGGGAGCATGAAGATTATCAAATATAAATTTTACTGATCTTATTACCAGTGTGACTACAGTCTCTAATCGAGAGAAAGATATGAAGCTGGTTATATGTTCAAACCCAACTGTCAGTTACACTTAAATTCAATCTGTCCATCGACGCCATGACTTGGGTAATTTAGTTTTTAGGCCTAAGTTTGAGATCTTGCTTGTTATAAAAGTTACAGTATATCTTATAATCCAATTTCTTCATAAATACCAACGTACATGGTGAATACATTTAAAATAGATAGACGTGTTGTTCATTTCTTGCTCATATATTTGAAAAAAACAATAAACCTAATTCACATTTCGAACAACTTGAAGGAAAAAGATTCACAACGGCCATAAATGCTTACTGGACTGAGTGAAATGAGTTCAGTATGAACATAAGAACTTTGAGACTGCTGATCTGTCGGCATTTTTATAGCAATTTCCGAGGGAAATCCGCAGGACAGTTTTGGAATATCGGGCTATTTGAATTCGGTCTTTATAAAGGTACGTTTAATATTTCAGCCTTTACTTCGAATTTTTCATACAAAGACGACTTGCACTATTTCATGTACATTGAAGGATCACAAAAGTCAAAGCAACTGTGCAAAGACCTTTAAAAGTCACTAACAATAGTGAATACATTTTTAAACATATCGAACTTATTGAATCACGAACTATCTGGATTTCGTAAAGAAGAGAAGTTGTGCTATAATCAGAATTGGAGGTCGCTTTGCTATAATGTTATTATAAGGATACACTTTAAGTCAAACAGATTAAATTAGCAACAACTGTCATGGTTTTATATGTGTAACCTCCTTCGCTTCCTTCATTACCGCTTTCAGCATTTTATTCACTTATGACTTCGTAACTTTAGTTGAATTCTGATCCATAAGTGAAATTTCTGACTACTGCGGCAATTAAGCTAAGGATAACATACCCGGGTAGCCAATAATAGACCATTTATATTTTGGCAGTAGAATGTGGGTACTGCTAAATCCCCAAAATGTTAAAATGGATGTGAGCCAATTTTTGAGCCTTTACGACTATCGTTCTTAGTCTTCCAATGCACCCTCAAACAAGTCTTAAGGCAGTTTACTAATAGGTATGTTTGCATTATGCGATGTGGCAAAAGGCAGCATTTGCCATTATAATACTATACAATTTCTGTCGATATACAGGGTGAAGCATTTTTATTGGGACCTTCAAACTGAAAATCTAATAACAATTTATTTCATGTTTTGGGGGAGAGGAGAGGGGGGGGGCTGGAATATAACTGTAGTAAACTTGGATGTCAAGTATTTTAAGTAAAACCCATGTCAATTTTGCCATTTCCTTGCCTATCGAATGAATTTAGATCTTACTAAAGTTAATTGCAATCTTCCTTTTAGGAAGTGACTGACAAATTTAGTCATTCGTTCATATTCTTTTTATGGTAATTTAAACCTTTAAATTATTTAGATTTAACGGAATAGGTTTAGGTATCGACTCTACTTGTTTAGTTAGAAACAAAACTAATACATTAATTGATAATTTTAAATTTTCGTATGTTTAAGAAAATGTGCAATTTATAAGTCACAAATGACGTCTTATAAGTAGTTTGATTTTGAAGTTCGAATAAATAGAGCTTGTTTAAAATGATCACAATCAACCCGCACTTGATAAGCATCAAATTCAGTTATTGGTTTTACCAAGGTACACTTTAACATATGTATTCCAAATTATGACTGATTGTATTCGGGAAGAATTAGTTAATGGTAAAGATGAGTGTTTCAATAAGGTGGTACAATATTTGGATGAAAGGAGCAATGAGTATTACAGGAGGCTGTGCGAGGTTTTTGGATCAACAGAATATTTCGAACATTTCAAGCAGTGTTACCAGAATTCTGTATCTCCGTATGTGGGTGATCAAGCCCTCAGTCCTCGTAAGCTTATTCAACACCCGTCAATCTATTTATTTTCTCTTCTTGATTGTTGGATATTTATTTGTTTTCAAGTGCATGAGCATCTATGTGCCATTCTGGAATGGCGTTCCCTTCTTGCCACCGAAGTGGAGGCTCTGCAGGCTATGAAGACTGAGATCGAGGATTATCCTAAGGACTTCGAAATTCAGATTCGTTTAAGTGAATCTCTTCATGAACAAAATCGCCTTCGAAGAGAACTTGAAACTCTAAAGGAGCAAGGTATTTGCTATTTTTTCTGGTTACTCCTTTTAGCTGAACGTTTGCAAATGGAAAACAATGCCTATAATGCAATTATTGACGAAGTAAAAAAGGATTGTAATGAGAAGATAGCTGAGTCGAATGAACGCGCAAAGAAGGCAGAAAAGGCATTTATTGATCTCACACGTCATCGATCCGTTAATCAAACGTCAGAATATTCCGCCATGGTTACTAAGCCTCCTGATGCTGCACTCCAAAAGCGGACTTCAGAGACTATGCTGAATGCAATGTCCCCGTTTCCTTTCAAGTCATCAATGGATAAAGTTCAAGTATGTGTTTTATTTTGGAAATGATTTTTTTAATGTCTAAAAGGAGAAAGTAGCTTCATCTCTTACTCGGAAAATGCCTTATTTTTACTGCCAGACGTGATAGTAATTGAGCTGTTCTCTTGCTAAGAGCTTGTAGCAAAATTCTTTAAAATGTTCATTTTTCTTAACGAACTCTTCCGCCAGGGTTTATTTCTCTTTCACTTAATAATCTTAAAGTATTTGAAATTATTTTAGTAGTTTTGGTAATAAATAATGCCTAAAGGAACTCTTGATATCTGGATTGATTAATGCCAATGTTGATAATACGATCATTGGCAGTAATGAAGAGCTTACTATAATAGCGACGCTTACACTCATTTATAATTTCTCTTCTTTCCTTTAGGAATAATTTAATAAGGCATCTACAGCTTGACCGAGCGCACGAGCGTCTCATGGTTGTGCGAATTATTAGGATTAATCTCCGAATTATTATTAACCTCGACGTTTATCTTCGTCGAGAGAGAGTAACCTTTTCTTCAGATTTTTATTGACTTTTCTAAGAACGATCTCTTCATTGTTGGATATGTATGGAACGATCTCTTAGTTCCTCGTTGATCTCCATTAATTCTTTAGAATGTCGCTTTTGTTACAATTTGAACCCTTTGTATTTAAAGAGAGAGAGAGCCTGTTTTACTTCCTCTCGACTTTTAGTATGTTAGTGTCAGTAAACATGAGGGAAAATCTTTAAACTTTAAATTTATTTTATTAAATACTCTATCTTAATGTCTTCTATGTCCAGGGAGTTGAATTATTGTCTTCTTTAACCTTGGTTCTAGATGTCACTTCCTGATAGTAGTGCTTCTGCGAATGCCGTTTATTTTGCTGGGTAGTTTGAATCTAACTCAAACATACTATTCTAGCCTTTTCTTGCATGAAAGGTAACGCCATGGTTTCTATAATGCAATGAGAATGGAATGTGCCCCGCTCTACCTTTCTCCTTTCTCAATAGAATACACAAAATCCACATTAGTGCTGATCACTATGTCATGGTCAGAAAAAGCGTCTAAAGACGATATGAGGCTCCTTTCTGTGGTGGTTTTATTAAACATATTTCTTAATTTTCATTTTCTTTTTCCCATAAGCTAAAATGAGCACGAGGGCTAAGAAGTGTGCCCTAGTCAGTAATAGTTCCCTAGGAAGTGGCGTGAGCATAAACGCCTCGCTAGATTCTCTTGATTTGCCAAGTCGCTTATTCATGTGATCTCCTCGCCAAAATATAGATGTCCACGGCGTTGAATTGTGCACAATCGCTACTCTCCCCTTAGACGTCGTTGCCACACCTATTTGGCTGTGATTTGGTTGGTGACTCATTCTAAAATACCCCCCCCCCCCATTATGGGGCTTATTAAGTTTAGCTAAGTTTATCATTAAGTGTGCTTAATGGTTAAATGCATTTGTTAAGTTAGGTATACGAAGATGACAGGATTAGTTGTTCTCATCAGTAAAATCCCGTGATACAACCTCTACTGAGGTTAATATTGGCGAAGGCTTTCTTGAATGGATTTGGACGCTATGCCGGCCGTACAGGTAGATACCTAGTTTTAATGTCTAAAGGTTGGGGGTTGTTCGTTGAATTATACCTTCGGTTCTTAAAATCTTATCGACGAAGTCCAAGTAGAAAACATGTGTTGTTACAACATTTTTCTGTTGTTTACAGTGATATTTCTTTCTGTCTTGTGATCTTCTTTAAGACTTTCTAATTGTTTTCCCTCTCTGAAGTAACCCGTAGCATTCCAAATATACTTGCCATATATTTGCTAGCATTGGGGCTGATATTTTTAAGTTTTCTTGTTTTTAAGAATATTGTTGCTCCCCTCAATTAGTCTCAGCACGGTAGCCTGCTTTATAATGCGAAGGAATTCTCTTTTACGTATTCATCTGCTTACAATTTGAAGCGTTTGATTACTAGGTTTAGTCGTAAATCCCCCTTCCTACTCTCAGATTCGCATTGAAATTAATTAAGGAATGGTTTAAGCAAATGCTTTGGGTTGACGTAGCATCGTTATCATCATCATCATCAGCAGCAGCATCACCATCATCTTTCTATACTATGTGGCCGTGCCACACCCAACAAGGAGACGAAAGATACCTAGGCTAAGTTGTCGACGCCCACTTTTTCTTCGCATTGGCTATTTCATATCTCTATTATCTCATCTGCCAACGCTGATGCTGCGTGACTGACCTTTTATTTGAATTTTTTAACCCTCTCCCTCCTCCTTTAAGTCGCAATAACCGTAAAAGTGACAATGTTTTAATTACCGCTATTCTTTACATCGTCATAATTACTCTGATTAGGTCTTTGTGGTTATGATTCAATCTCTTTTTTACTTGATATCATTAATATTAATTCGCCTTTTAAGGCGTTCTCATAATAAATACGAGTACTTAAACGGTTTATGACCCAATATAATTTTTTATTTACAATGCAGTAAGCATATTTAGTTTTACAGCTTACTAAGTCTTATATCTGATGGTTTATTTAATCCTTTATAAGTGTGATCACTCATTATAGCAATGCTTTTGAAATGATACCTCTTGATAGTGAATATTTTAATTACTAATTGCGTCTTGATATTTGAGTTTAATTATTTAGTACTCTCAACACTGGATGACTCCTCAGTGTTACTTTAGTTACGCATGTGTATGGTCCCCTAAGTCGTAGTAACTTTGGAATGTGTAATGGGGTTTTAATTGCAAGTTTTCATTATATTAGTAGGTCTAGTTGTGGTAGTGGTATCGTCACATTTAATGTTCTCTATTGTGTTCTCTCTTACTTTATGAATAACCCCAAAATTAATTATTCAATATTTGATTTTAATTATTTGATTTTGTTGATACTGGATGACTCATATTATTGTCTAAGTTGTAATAACCTTGGGATGTTACGACTTAATATGTTAATTCACATTAAATACTCTTGGCTGACGTCTAATTATTGAACAACCCTTTGTGAAATTGACATGATTAAGCCAAACTGCGGCCTCAATCTGTGGGAAAGTATGTTGAATGATCTGTGAATGTGGCATTTTTGGTTGAGTAAGGCAATTAGGGGGATTTACAAAGTCTTGAATAGTGATTGTGTTATTGATATCTTTAAAAAATTTTGAAGAAAGGAAGCAATTTAATTTTCTCGAATTTCTTTTATTGTTGGGTCTAGTAAGTTTCCGTTCATTTATATTTCCATCTTTTATTTGAAATTCGAATGATTTTTCATCTTTTTTTGCTTCCGAACTTTGTGAACTTTGACGTTTCTATGCCTTAGCTCATTTAGCACGTTTAGTTTCTGTTGCCAGGGTAAATCCGCACAATTGATACTACTAGACTATACTGAGAAAGTGATAACAACTTCAGGCAGAAATAACTATCGGGGTGACAGCAACAGTGCGTCTTCTCGTCTTGATGTGAATGTTGGTCGGCCTGAGTGCCTGCTGGAATTGTTGCTCCCAAGACAAAACATAAACACGAGGGAAATGAACGTTGTTTTTATGGGCTAGAGAGTGTAAGTGTCGTACAAATGGAATAGTCGAAAGCGTTTCGAGGTGTTTGGTTATTGGTATAAATACTCATTTGTAATCTGAAAATGAGGTAGGCGTTGCAACCTGATATTGTAAAAGTCGACATTTTCAGAAGGTCTTCAATGTGTTCGAAATGGTATTTATATGTTCGAGTTTAAGAAAATGCCTATTTTTGAAAAGGCTACTCGTTGTACTTGCTAGAACTGAGCTTCAATCGGGTTTAATGTCTACTAGTTTATTAGTCATACTGTTAACATAATTCCATTCGAACCTGGTGGTCTATCGATAACAGCAAAATACAGATGGACTTAAATTCGAACTATTTACGAAATATTGGCTCAAATTTTTCGCTAAATTGCGTTTGAGGCCCGCCATTGCAATATCTTTTTAATGAATCCAATTATTGTATAAACAAGTTCTTCCAATGACTTGCATCTGTATTTAGTGTCAGGGAATGTGTTTAATCTGATTTGGCATGTTCTCAGTCTTTCTGAATTTCATTTTTGTCAATTAATCAATGAACGTCTTCGATTAAACAACCTGTTTTCGACTTAAATTTATCTGCGCACTAAGGAGTCGCAAGAGGGTAGCTGAGTTGATTTTTTTCCTATTCATGAGTTCATTAGTGCCCTATAGGTATACCGTGAGAAGTGATCTTAATCTCATCATTTATTCTTCATAAAATACTTATGTTTGATAAAAAAATTCTATATTTATTTGCTGCAAAATCCCACTTTTGAGGAAATGTTGAGTTCAATTTTTGTTTGTTTTCTGGAAAAATGTATATGTAGGCGACTCTGCAAAGATTGAGAATGTGAAATTTGATTTAGTTTGAATTCATTTTTTCTCCATTTTCCTTTTAAGTAGTTTTTTTTGGTATTTTGAGTGCATATGTCTTAATAAAGTTCAGTTTTCAGTTCGTGCTAAAACCACTTCTCCATTTTTTCCTTTAGAAAAGTAGGTTTAAATAGATTTGGGAATTGTGGTAGCGTAATAGTTACCGGTTTAATCTCACAAATTGGAGACCCTTTTGCTGTATTTGTATCCTTTTCAACCTTCTTTATGCATATGAAAAGGGATAATTGAAAACAAGCGCCTGGGAGTTAAGGTTTTTTAAGTCACTATGAAATTGTGCTCCGATGGCACAGTGGTCAGCGTGAATGTCTTCTGAGTCGAAGTTTACTAGACCGATATACATTTGCTATTGTCAATTTCAAATTTAACTGTTCAACAGCAGTAGGGTAGAATGGGAGTTTAGGTTTCATCAGTGTGCGTTTCCTCTTTCGCTCTTTAATGCTCTTAATATTTATCGAATGGGATTTAAAGCTTTTTGGTCATAATTTTCAGAAATACAAGCCTCAGGTACATGTGAATCATATACTAATTGTTTTCTCAATACTACAGTATCCGTCTACTTGAAAGGTAACCTTATCGCTTGAACAATGACAAAGTTATTTGACCGTTTCTTTCTTATTTACAATATGATTTCCTATCTCGTCTTCGTCTGAGCTACATTCAATAAATGAATTATTATTGTCAGAAGCCCTTAGTACTGTTCTGAAAATTGGGATATATTTTGACATTTTCTCCACTCATAGTTTATTTAATATGTGATAGAGCTAAGAGAAGTCTACTTGTTTTATTTCCTTTTCTTTACCCATCAGAGCAGTTCATCGCGTTTCAAAGCTTACAGTACTCTCACTTGGGAGGGTTTCGACTCCTTGGATGAGGACTCCAGCGACGATGAGGTGAAGAAAGCAACTTCGGTCATTAAATCCATTACAACCCCTGATGAACCAGAACCGAAGGTAGTAGAGCTTCCACTGTCGTCCAAGCAGGAGGTTAGCGTTTCGATCTCAGAAGCTCAGCATAAGATAGATGAACGACCTAAAACCCCTGTGAAGGAGGAGCGACCTTCAACTCCCGAGGGTTTTGTCACAGAACTACCGAAACTCGATGCTAGTCCTATAAAACCTACTAGTAAGTTAAGTCTTCTTGTTGATATCTATTTGGATCACTATTTTTTTGCACAGTGTTTAAAAACATTTATCTCATAAGTTTTGAGAAACGTAAATTCTACCATTCCTACCTATTACTGGAGTTTTCCGAAAATCCATCCAGGAAGTTTAAACGTAAAATTCCATTTCATGAAACTATTTTTTTGTAACCAAATGACCGGCCTTCCTAATAAGAGTTGCCCATGAGCGAACATTCGGAAAACTCCAGTACCTTTCCTCGGTTTGTATTTGCCTCTGGAATTAACTAAGGGATCACTATTTGGTGCTGTTCGGTTTGATATTCGTGCACTTGACAAGCACCACCACAAGTGTGGTGCTATTTTTTTTAATAAAAAAATCAGACATTTCAAATCTTTAGTGTATGGTGTTTCTTAAGGCTGTGCAATGTTTCCTGTCGTCTCTTGATTGCTATGTTGAGCATTACTTTGAAGTCTTACAAAGCGAAATATCTTTAATATAGATTTTCGAAGCAATCACTGATTGCTAGTAAAATATCATTTCCACGCCCCATTTTGGTTATTTAGTTGATTTACTCCCAGAATTACGTTTCCCGCGCCTCTGCTTGATAAATTCAATCTTAAAGGAAATTAGGCGTAGTCGTTTGCGTGGTTAAAGTCCAGAAATGATTTTATTTTCTCTGCATTAAAGCCTCCTTGCAGATCCCTCCCTTGAAGAAACGAGGAGGCTAAATTCCAATGCAACGGAGGTATGAAAAAAGATTGTGATATTTCCAACGTCTCAATCTTTTATAGAAATAATATAAGTCTAAATAGACGAATGCGTGCTTCATGTTTCTGCTTGGGGGGGGGGGGGGGGGGGGGGGGTCCGATTTGTTCAGACCATTTTGCATTACACAGCTGGTGCATTACATATTGAAAAATCACGTTTTGGGTTGAGGTTTTCTCCTTTTTGAGTATGACTACAAAAAATAGGTAGCAATGAGTAGTTCATATGGGAGTCTGAGTGCTCTCAACAGGTGCACCGGAGTACTTACTTTCCCAATGTTACAAAGTTCATTTTACATTAGATCCCCTAATTAGGATCAATGTTATAGAGTTCTCTAAACCCAGTACTTAACTCTAAATGACTCATTTTAGTTCAGCACCAACGTCCAAATAAGTTCATCCATGTAGTTCGCTTGGAACTTGTTGGTGAACGCGTAAAATCTATGTGCTAGAGAAGGGATCTCCTGAAATCTTCCCAAGACCGTGACATGCAATTACTTTTCCACCAGCCCAAATAACAAACCACTGGATTTTGTTTATTACGTTTTTTTTCATGGCAGGATCGTTCGTATCTAAACGGTGTCAACACTAACATTTATCTGAGGCCTCACATTTGTGTTTAGGCATGCACGGCACTTCCTAAAGTACACAAGTACAATGTTCTATTCATTATGTATTCACCTATAAAAGGAACCAAATTTGCTGTAGTAAAATATTGATACTAAAAGGAACCGGAGTGAGTATCTAGCTTAGATTACATTTAATGTTGTTATCTGGAACTTATACCTAATCTCCCTAAGTGGTTTGTTTGGTTTTTCAGCAACTAAACAAGTAGCGTACATAATTTATCTTGTATTTCGTTGAAAGCTAAGTCATTAGTGTATTTCAAGAGGTTAATATGAGCGGTGAAATAGTTGTTCTCTAATCAAGCTAACCTTGGAATATCTCTCTACTCGTGGGGGTGTTTTGAAATATGTTCATTCTATCTATCATAAGATTGTCTTTCAAATAACAATTTCTTCTTAACTCTCAGGATTAGAAAATACAGTAGATGAGACGGATAGAAATATTCGAACATCTCTGAGCAGTACTCCTCGAAAATCCCTTCCTGTGACACCACATCAAGCAGGGGAAATCTCAACTCCCGAGCCTTCAACTACGTTTGCGTCCCGCCCTAATCGCTCTAATTCTCCCGTGGTTGCCAGTTCCCAAATAAAGTCGCGGAATTCCATTGCTGAAGTTTGTGCAGATAGTGCTGGTAGTGACGTGGTGGACAAGTCGGTTTATCTCCAACTCTATGACAAATATCTTGATCTTCAGTCAGAGTTGGAGAAGGTTAGCAATCGACAGGAACAGTCATTGGCCAATAACGCCGATGCTTTGTCAAGTGGTGTCGTGTAAGTATTTGATCAATTTTAATTCGCGGGTTGAAGTATGAAGATTAAAAGATTTCTAAAATTCTCGGACATTGAGCTTGTTTGAAGCTACCAGATTTGGGGTGCTTGATATTTCTGAAAGCATTCATCACAGTATTGAGCTAATCGTGGATTAATTTTTGTTCTGTTTAATAGCATTAGTAGTAAGTGAATCTTCCTAAGTCTTCCCACGTAGCTCTGTCTTTAGCCCATTTCTGGCTATCTGAGTTTCTTCATTAATTCAAGTTATTGGCAAATCGCTGAAGGTAACTAGGGTATTTTCTTTTTCTCTACTTGAACTATGACGCAGAGCTTTAATTGGATTGCCGGAAATCGCAATTTTTCTGAATATTTTCATCAGGCGACAAACATATATTAATTTCATGGTCTGTTTGCACATTCGCACTTCCGTTTTCTAAGCTCAAATTCAAATCGTTGGAATGGGATTGATTTGGGTTCTATCGGGTGAACATTTTAACGACTTTTGAACTACTTTTCTAGGCCTATCGTCTTTTACGAAATCCATCCATATTGTATTACTGATATCACCTATAATTAAATTATCCCTTTTATGCTTCTCAGTGAGGAATCCGTGGCAGTACTTCACAGAAATAAATGTGTGTGTGTGTATGCTACTTACCTCAGCCACAGGCAGGGCAGGACTAGATTTATTGATGTAGTTGTGAATCTATTTCTTTATTAAGATTAGTTTTTTGGTCCTGCGAAGACTGAATTTGTCCCGTGCATTACGTGGAATTGACATTGCATTTCTAATGCACTGTAAGGCGTTGTTTCGATTTTCTATCGGTAACAATTTATTTACCAAATTCGTAGGTCCAATTTCAATATTCATCTCTATACGTTTATTAAACAATATATGGCTAATTATGCTCGATAATATTGCACCATAGGTGCGTGACAGAATGGGTGTTGTTTATTAGAGGGGGAATACGCAATGCTTTTTCTATTTTGGTTATCATTTTCCTTCAATCGATTTGAGATTTATAACAGATAATAACGCAGTCGAATTAGTCAATGCATTGGCTCAACTTCTAAATGCCTTTTGCTCAAATCGAATAGTTAATGTGCTCGTAAATCTCTCTAATTAGCTATCAAAACTTTTTGTTTAACTTTCCCCAATCCGAATTATTCATTAGGAATGGTGTGTCAACTATTAAGAATTTGATTGCGAAAAGTGTCCCCATAATTGCATTTTAAATTGACTGTCTATTTTATTCTTAACCTCAGATTGCCTTGAACTAAGATTGTATGTTGGAGCAATGAAGTAGACTCAGTAATTTAGGTTGATGAGTAAGTACGGCATTTTTTAGCGCTTCACGGGCCGACTACGTAGTTGACCCCAATCATTTTCACATGTTCCACTGTTCCTGTTGCTCATTTTCGACTATGTGCGTGCTCTCCATCTACACGGAGATTCTCTCTCTCTCCCTCCTTTCGCTTGTGTGCTTTCAGGTGTGTTGATAATCTCCTAATTGAACTGCCATGCGTATCCCATTAATTGTGGGTAAATGACATCTGCCGTTCTATTAGCTGATTGAAGAGTGGTGAGGAGACTTTTTCGTTTTCACCCCCCCCCCCCCCCCAAAGTTTATGCGAGTCTGATCAAAATTTGAAGTAAAAATGCAGTTTTCTAAGTGGTTGTTAGCAATTAATTTATATCAAATGGCAGGCGTTTTGATGGTTATCATTAGCCTTTTAGTTGACTTCAGGCTTCACAGAGGAGAGAGGGAACATCAAAGTGAAAGAAAGTCGAGAGGGGGGGGGGGCACGGAAGAGTGTTTATCCAAGGCGAAGGTAGAAAAAAGGCGAGGTGAGTATTGTGGAAGTAGTCGAATATGACATACAGTGGGGTGATGGTAGTTTGAAGTCTGAAGTCAACTGTGGATTTATGGACTTTTATAGTCGTATGAGTATTTGTTTGCCTAGTGTGCACCATGTGGAGGTAAGTCTACTGTGTATCCCGTCATGGGAAGTAAATAAATGAGCCTATTTTCTTTCTTTTTCTTGAGAGCTTGTACTTTAAAACCAATAGTATCTGAGATATGTAGTTGATGCTTTTACTTTTAAATTAAACACCAGTGCCGAGAAATTATAAGCTTTTATGCATCGGTGGCGTAGTGATCACTGTGTACACAGACCAGCATGGAAATCGGGTATTTGATATCTGATTGCGATTAATCAAGAATGGGTTAGCAAAATACAAGCATTTTTAAGTAGAAAAATGCGCTTAAATGGGCTTAAGAATTATATATAATCGCATCTGTTTAAGAGAAAGTAATTTGCCTGGAGTGGAAAAATCACGTTTGTTGTTCTTCCTAAATGGCATTACTAAATTGAAATGGAATAAAGCTTCTAGTCGATCACACCCGGTGTATCGAAATCCGGATTTTTGTGCATGCTAAAGCTACAATGAGCCTTTATTCACAAAGCATTATTAATTAGAATTAAAGGCTAAGCAAAGTTTTCCACTCTAAATTAATGTGCCCTTATCAAATGAAGCGTGTAATTGAGTTTTATTCTTTTCTCATCATCTTAATGCAATTCATTAGCAACATTGAAGATTCAAACACTGAGTTCTGCCACATATCCACCTTAATTAACCATACTCACGATACTAGTAATATGATTAACTTTCTTTATGAGCTCTCTACACAGTTTGTTCTATTATTATTCTTCTATGGCAACGCAAATTGGTAATGCTTAATTTCTTTTGAAAAAAACGTTTGACTAAGAAGGCCCAAATAGGAGACACAGTCAGTGAGAGGGCAAGAAATCTCCGCTTTTTAGTTTGATTTCAATTCTCGAATTCATTTTAATATTTCGGGCCGCAATATTCAGTTTTTGGTTTCTGTAATATTCTGCTGAACGATTAGTCCATGGTTCAATAGATTGAATTGTTCGTAGTGCTCGCGACTGATTGACCATTTGCTCCTCAGTAGGCCAGTTTTACCTGTTCTTCTGTTGAGTTAGGTCAAATTCGAGTTTTTTTTTCATGAAATCTACTCCAGTTTACCTTTCTAAGCGTTTTTATTCAATTTTGATTTACACGGCTTTCCTGATTACCGTGAATGATTACAGAATGCAATATTTCGTTTCCGTTTCTGCTATCTTAAGCTTTTTCACCAATCAGTAGTTGATCTAGTGAGGAGTAATGCGAGAAATGCGAATAATTTTAGTCGTTGTGAATTGGAACAGCCGTTAAGTATCGTTTTCCTATGAATTACTTTCCTAATATTTCCAATTTGCCAATCTTTGTATGCTTTACAGACTAATTTTAGACACCCTTTGCGCAGCACTTACAAAATTGCCTATACTTGCCTTAACTTCGCCTAACGTATTTTGAATTGAAGCTATTTGTCTTTCCTATTTTGTAGGCCATGCAATGAATTGGGATTGACTACTCAATTGAACGATCTTCGTGACCAGGTGTGTACTTCTTTATATTATTTTGACATAAATCAAAGGGCCTGTTCTTGTGCCTTGATGGCGTAGTGCATATGCCAAGTCACAGTGTACTGAATTGGTACTTATTATTGACCATATTGGTATGCTTCCAGGAGGAGTTTTGGAAAACAGGTTTGAAACTTATTTAGCTTATGCCTCAGTGAAATGGGAAGAAGGAATTTGCCTTGAGTCATTTTAAAATAGACGTCATTTCTCTTACTCTCACACCAAATGTCTTTCGCGTTAACTAGCTGCATGCACAAACGCGATCCTATCTTTTTTCGCCCAACTGTCCAAAAATTCGTTTATAGAGGTAGTTAAGACCTCCTTTAACTCCTACTTCCTCGGCAACTGAGACAAACCAATCAGGTAAAACAACTACCACGGATTTCGTTTTTACTATTCACCAATTCGGCTCCTGAGGCATGAAGCATTTGATTTTGTGTGGCGTTTTTATTATATAGAAAGGGCTTAAAACCTAGGTTCATTTGATTCTGGATTAGAAATCGTAATTTTTTTCAAAGTAGTGTGTTGTCTATCGTTCTGGGGAACTTCAATTTGAGTGTTCTACGTGGACGCGTGTTTTTAACTACTTTATTCTGAATAAAATGGGTATTAACCCGTCTCATAAGTTCAGCGGTTTCGTATTTATCAGTCCACTGGCAGAATGCGCCTGTTCTGGTTTTACCTGAGGCCAATGTTAGCGTTCAGAAAGGCATTTTATTCGCCTTTTGAGGGATCAGAAATCGTAAAATTGATGTTTGTTTGTGCACCTTCACATACCAAAACAGCAAAATTGGGGTCAAATAGAGCTTCAGGGAAAACTCTTTAGTTCTGAACGTTTGAATCTTTTATTTATTATCGAAGACGATCTATTGATGCTTTTCTAAGTTAGGTAATAACGCAGTGGCGTTTGCACAATCCTGACTACCTATTTTCCCATCAGGTCTGCGATACCGAAGGTCAGGAACCGAATTTGGCATCGCCTACTAGAATATCCGGTGGAGACATCTTTTCTACCATTCCCAACACTCCCAAACACTTCACTGACTGGTCCATCTCCCTCGATCAAACTAATGCCTCCAATGCCGCAATGGACACTTCTGACAACGACGTCGATAGTGCTGTCAAAATTCATAGGCCTTCTTTGGTATTTTTGCTTTTTATTTAACTAAAACCAACATTTAAGGCGCGATGTATGAATTTATGGATTAAGGTTGTATCACACCCTGGTTATCTTCGTAATAACGTATGCATTGAGGTTTATGCTCCATCAATTTTAACTCTCACTTTTGGGTATAACGACGGTCAAGGATGCTCGTCCATTTCGCGGATCAAAATTGTATTTGTTTGGTACGCATTGCAGAGTATACATCTTAATACATCTATACATTAGAGGAGATTTCTGCAGAGATTTCCATAAAGCGGTGCACAAAATGGATTAATTATTTAAAATTGGGATGCGTCATTTGAAGAGGCCTAATTTTTTAAGCTTCTTTGAAACTCCCACGCGCTTGTTTAAAGTGCTGATGATGACTTTTCCTATGACACTTTTCGCATGACAATTGTTACTACCTTTGTCACGTCCTCCTACTCTCCAAATTCATCTTAGGAGAAAACGAATGATGCTTAATTTTTTTTCTCCGTTTTTGTTTATCCTATGTGCATAGAATCTTCTGGAAGGTGTGCCTGTTGTGTGCATATTTGAAACTGACGATGTTTCTGAACTAGATTTTAGTTGTGCATTTTCTCTCTATTTCGGTATTATTTTGTTCTCAAGTTGTTTTCTTTTATTAATATTTTAATTAGCTGTCGTGATTATCTTACCCATCTTACACAAAATGATATTTGGTGGTCAGGCTTCTGGAACTTTAAATTGTGTTCCATTTTTAGTAAGTGTAACGTTTGGGCACTACGTGCAGAGGATCGAAGTAGCTTCAGAGAGCACGTGTTTTTTTTCACTGGGTCATGCTTTACTGTTAACCATCACAACTGACTATATTAGACAATTGTATGTATACTGGCTAGCCTATGATAATAGGATAACCTGAGTGTGTGTGTGCGTTTGTGTGTGAGCTCTATTATATGTCTAATGCCTTTTACAAATTAGCCCCTTCTTTTTTATAACCCTCTAGGTAGCTAGATTTGCTTATAAACCTATTTACCATGCCATTAAAACGAATTACTCACGGATCGTCATTTAACTTTTCTACTTTTTCTCTTGCTATAAAGTCTTCATAGGGATTTTGGTTTTTCGTGGGAACGTGAGGCCAGAAACTGGCTCCCTACTGACCTCAATTTATACAACCAAATACTCATTCGACTAAATGTTTTGGCCCTCGATGATGTCGTGAGCGCAGTTCGTTAGTCACTGTTTACATACGATCGGTTCCTTAGTATCTTCATATAACGCTTAATCTTTGAAAATGTCATTGAGCTTTTGTATGTATTCGTATGGTAAAAGAAACAACGCTATCACATATATATGGAATTACTGGCTGTAGTTTTTAACTTATATCTACGGCTCTAATTGTGTTTGAACTGAAACCAAATAAGGATAATCACTTTTTACTTACGCTTTTTTTATTCCAACAAACAATTTCAAGTAGAACTCAAGGCCACTTCCCAACACATTAGTGGCCAAATATATCCTAGGTCATGAAGGCATGAAGAACAAGAATCGCTATAATCTCTAGAAACCTTTTGTTTCAACATTATCTACCCAAACTTCACTTCCCTCTGCTTCCTAAATGTGTCAATAATAATAGTAATAATACATCACCGTGTTTCACTTTCATCTGAAGTTGATTTTAGCTGAATATTGGCATTTGATTCCCTATAAAACACCCTAAATTCCTCCTCAATCCAAGCGAAATCTGATTAATACTGTAACAAAACGGTCTAAATTTTTCGATTAATGCCAATTTTGTCATTTTTCTTTATGGTTGAACTTCCTCCTTCAAAATCTTTGACATTTGATATTTAACAATATTAATATTGAAAAATGTGGAAGGTTTAATAAAATTTGTATTCCAACCTTAGCATTCTCCTACTCATGGTGCTTATACTGGTTTTACACTCCTTAAATTCTCCACTATTTTACACTCAAACAACTAGTTTCTGTTCCATGCAGTGTATTGTTTGTTCGTAAACTTTTTGATTCTAATAGGTCTTTGTATGTCTTACTGATTGAAATTGAAGCATACTTCGTGTCTACGAAAGAGCATTTTCTGGTTCAAGTAAAATAGAGGTGAATTCAAGAGGTGGACAATCGTTCATTTTGCTATTAAAGTGCTTTTTGAATGCATGTACTGCTAATTGAATTATTCGGGCGATAGTATGCTTCCTATTTTGTAAACTTCTTCAATAATTTTGCAATACAATCAGTTGAGCGTGCCCGACATTTTTCACGGGAGAGTATATCAAAAGGGAAACGCCTTCATAAATAATGCACCGGAAGTGTTATATGATTTGGAACTCTCTTGTGTTTAGCATCGGTTGCTATGCCTATTTATTTGTTTGCGCTTAAGCAAAACCCGATTCTCTGATGAATGAGGAATTTCCCTATTTCAAGAGAATTTACCGTCGTCAGCGGCACTCTACAGCATCTTGAGATTTAATACTTGTTATAAACGCTACTCATTAACTAATGTGTCTTCAGGCAGCTGAAGAATGCTTCTACTACCCCCTCCTTGCATCATCTGATTATCTCACTAATGATATCTCCTCATCATCAAGCTCTTCGCTTAGCATAGTGAGCAGTCGTTTAGTTTTTTTTGGCGAATTTTTTTTCTTACTATTAGTTTTACTCTTTTATCAATGTTGTGCTTAGGCCGTCGATTTAACTCGTTCAAGACGAGTAAGATAGCAATTCTGCTTTTTTTATTCACTTCTGTTTGTTGTTTATCGAGTTTCTGGAGTTGCGTCAGTTTGTTTATATTTAGTTATCTAAATCTAATTGCAACGTATTATTACACCTCACTTTCTTTTGTAGTCGGTTGGTCAACAGACAGATCTGTCTTTATTGTGTCCAAACTGCTCATCAGACTCTGTAAATACTCATTCTGGTTTGGTTCCTCTTCAGGAGGTAAGCTATATTAGTGCTTTCAGTCTGCTCTTGAATGGATTTGTTATCATTTATATTCCTGTTCTTTTTTTAGGTGAGTCCCTCTGCTCTGGGTGTACATATGCTCTCCCCAGCCTCTACCCTCCAAGAACTCAATGTCGACTTTTCGGAATCGACTGCAAGACAAGGTATGACTTCCCTTTATAGTACTTTGTGACTTTCCATTCAATAGATTTCTCTGGGTGTGTTTTTTGTAATGTTTCACTACTAATATTAATTTCCTTTTGATCGGTTTGAGCATTGCATTTAATGGCTCCTTGGTAATTCGGAACTGCGCTTAAGGATTTATTCTGTGGAGTGTCGAAGATGTCTGTGCGTTGGAGTTCAAAGTGTTGATCCTATAAAGAATCTGCTCTTTTTTAAGACATTATGACATCAATTAAACTGCTTGGCTGCTTCTTCGAGCTTGTTTTTACATTTACCTTAACTACATAATTAATTGCTTCTAAGTTTTCAATCGGTAAGTAACCATCGGGCATTCGAATTATGTATTCAATAATTCAGATGCCTATTAATAAATCTCTAGCTTTGAATTAAATCATTACGTAGGTCAAAACACGTATCTACCTATTATTTTCATGTATGAAATCTAATTAGGTCAGGTGTGAAGTGAGATTCACATGTTTATTATCTGTTTAATAATTGCAGCTTTGGAATTACACATAGGCGTAATGATGCCAGTGTTTTTCCTATTTTGATGTGGTTTTGATGGCTTAGACGTTATGTGCACAAGTGTGCCTTTTCCAGATGGCGAGAATTTTTAAAAGGTACCGAGCCCCTCACCACCACCTGTGTACGCTGGTCTCCTGTCAATATTGAACTAATCTAATAAATTTGTGGAGCACATTTTTTGTCAACGTGCCACCTTGAGATCCAAACTAATTTGGTTTTATAAAAAGTTGAGTGTGTGGTTATAGCTAGTTGTCATTTGGCTTTAACAATTTCTGCTGCAAAAATAAGAGTTGAAGGGTGAAATTGGAATACTAATGATTGCGATGTGAAGAAGGGGTGGGCTGAGGAAATGTGTGTTGTTTCATCTAAAAATAGCGACAATGCCAAGTTGGTTGTAAGCCATCTTACACGGATGAGTGAATTCCCAAGGCCGGGTTTTATTAATGGCAGTCAAAGTTGGACATCGTGTTTCTTCAAAATCACTACATGCTCACTCCCAGATAAGTATTTTCATTAATTTGGTAGCTTTCTTCACCTTTTGGCAATACTATTGATTGTAGAATAGCTTCAGCGATTTGAACCCTATCACTTAGTATATGTTCATGCGAATTCCAAGTGTTTATTTGTATAAATTTAGAAAATCATTTTGACTCTGTCAATAATATGCAAATCATGTGCGAAGGTAATATCTAGGACAACGCTTATGTTAATGCAAATAGCATACCTTGCCTCTTACGAGCCGTGCAATTGTTTTGTTGTCAATTTTTTGTCTGGTTGGAGAAGTTGTTGTGTGTGTGTATGCGTGTGTGTGCGAATGTAGAATTCAGCTTTGACCAAAAATGAGTATGTTTGCCATTTGACTGAGGAACGGTCTGTTTCACTTTGTGCTAATGATTCTCTCAGCATATTTATTGGAAGCATTTCTATATAGCGCAAATCATATAAATTACGAAATGCTCTAGTAGATACTGAAATCAAGATATCTTCACTTGAGTCATCAAACTCTTCGCATGGTTAGAATTCATTCACATACTACAGGGCTCTGTTCTCGTCATGAAATATTGGGTCGATAGGGAAGTTTTGTCTGCGTTGTTCAGACCTTATTAAGTCGATTATTTAATTGAGTGGTTGGTCACACTGCTTGATTGCATTTGTATCTTCTTGTGAATTAGTGAGACTGGTAAAGGCATCCTAGTAGCAGCTTTTTTAATAAAACCCTTTTTACATCTTGCATTGATGAAATGTATTTCCTTGATATTTGTTCATTACTCTCTGATAGTTATCAATTGAACTCTCGATGTACATCCAATGCGTCTTAAACGCAGTCGCTTGATAAGTTAGCTATACAAACCAGACCATCAAAGTAATCGTTATACAGGGCCACGGGTTTCAGCATATTACACCACTGTGAAAGTACTCTTAATATACTCACTAGAGCCAATGCTAGAGCAAGGTGTTTTGAATGAATATAAATCCTTCGTGTCGTAATAAAATTTCTTTCGAATTTTAGTTTCGGGCTTGGAGGTTATGGAATCAGCCTGCTCTCCTATCTCTGACCTCACACCAAAGGTATTTTTGCTCACATTAATCCTCAAAATCTCACTTATTTCTTCGTAATTTAAGAAATAAAAATAATAATATTGTGAGCATTGAGTGTTTATTTAAAATATTTTGACAAAATATGGTCTTTGTTATAAGGTGTTATGAATCATACTGCCCATGCTTAATTTCTTGCAAAAGTTTTACAAATTGCACTTTCTGCTTCTCTGATTGTCCTTCTAAGTGCAATGACGCATCTGTCGAATTGCAATTAGTTGGCTGACAAATACGACTGAGAAATCCTTTTCGATTTTAACGTGTCTTATTTTTCTAAGCTACTTAGATAATGTGCCATAGTGCCTCTCTAAACTTGAAGGGAGTAGGAGATTCGTAATGACCCTGTCCTTAGTACCCAATTTCTTAAATCGTCCACCTTGGAATGGAGGTGTGTATTATCTATGGGTGAAATATCCCGCTCTTGTTATCCAAAGTGAAATTCAACCCAGTAACTATGCAAGCGTCATTTGTAGCATTTGGAAGTAAATGTATGCAAACTCTCCCCTAAGCATGCAATAAAATTCACTAGTACGTATTATGGTATATTGGGCCCTTTCACGCTTTAATTTTTACGCACGAGGTCAAGCTGGGGGAGGGAGGGGAGGGGGGGTGGTCTATAGGGCAACCTCAGTGTGTGTAATTTGCAAAAATGGACTCTGTAAGGCTTCATTTGCAGACGAGGAATTTATGGAAGGAAGTTCTACGTTCGTGACACTAGTGGTTAACGTGTTGGTTTACAAGGCTTGAGGTCACGAGATTAGTGTTTATCGGTGCAAATGCTGTGAAGAGACTGGTCGAACCCGATTGTTTAGTTAGACTTATAAAATTGTAGAAGTTTCTCTCAGCGGGATAGCTCCGCGATTCCACTTCTCCACTATAGACATGAGCTGTAAATTGCTTTCCTACATGAGTTAATTACATGTAATTAAGGGATGTAGAATCGGGAATATCGTGGCTTTTTCGGTTGCTCGTCTTTAGTGCCATTTTTAATTCTTAATGAGTCCTTTTAAAGTTGTCAACCATCTTAGCCTCACTAATGCGCTCTCTGTTATTAATGCAGTAGAAATAAGATTGTGGGGTATGTTATATTCAAAATACCCAAGAGTGGTGCTATCTAGTTGATCTGCGTGTG